CTCTCTCTCTCTCTCTCTCTCTCTCTCTCTCTCTCCCCACACACACACACACCACACACGCGCGCGCGCGCAGAGCTCGGCTGTCAAAATCAGGAGACGGATACCAAGAACTTTAAGCAGGGTAATTCTGCCGAAAAGAGATCAATCGCGTGCAGTTCGCACCAATTTTCCTGTAGCAAAACGTCGAGGCAAGACGCACGATGGCGGTCGCACCATGCTGATCACAAAGGCTAACCTCGCCTAGCCAACTTTTTAAATATTTTTTGGAAATAACGACAGAACGTGGGACCGACTCCAATTCCATATCCGCACGATGAGTAGCATCACTACTACTGCCGTCAAACGTGATTATACACGATTGATTCCAGACATTGTGTTTCATGCTCCGACTGTTGTCTTCAGAGAGAGTACGATTTTACCCACCATAAAAAGAGTCAGGAAACATCGAGCCAGTTATCGGATTGTAATATGAATGATCTCAAGAGACGGGCATGTCGAATGATCAGCTCAAAAAGAAACGAGAAAACGTTAAAAACTAGAGTATACACGTATCAACTTCACTTAACGTTAGCCACATGCGGTTCGTCAGACCAAGCAAATTTCTGATTAACAATGACAATGACGATTTACGGTTAGCATCACACGGTCACGAACAAAAAAGACCGACTCAATGTGCACAAAGACATGTCCTTCGGGGTTCAAGGAAGCACGGATCACAAAACACATTTTAAACAGTTCGCACATTCTTGCTCGTTTGCGGTGATGCAGAGCGAGCGCTAGGAAATTTCTCAATTTCCCTTCTTACGTTTTTTCGAGAAACTTCCTAAAGTCATGTTTCGAACGTCAATTGCCACCGACCACATGTCAGGAGGGGGAACAAGAGGCATCAATCAAGATATGACGCTCTTACGGGACCAGCAAAGCGCTCTCACTTCCTCCCCTCCGTCACATTCAAGAGAGGCTGCTTCTTCTGTCGACCTTAACCTCAACCTTCGCAAAGTAATATGACTGCCATATGGACCTCTCTCTCTCTCTCTCTCTCTCTCTCTCTCTCTCTCTCTCTCTCTCTCTCTCTCTCTCTCTCTCTCTCTCTCTCTCTCTCTCTCTCTC